AGATGTATATATCGGCTGTTGGGTAAGCAGGAATGTTGTTGCCCTGCTCGCCAACCTTGGGCACAGAGGGTATGCTGAAGTTGCATGCTGGGAAGCAAGTATAGCCAGCCGTCACGCAGGCATTCATGTGTCTGTCTTTGATAAGTCATGCGCATGTGGCCAAGTGGTTGTTTATGCTGAGACGTCTGTTTTTGCAGCTTTTGCAAGGGCTCAGTGAGGACCGGGTGAGGTCGCATTTTGCGCGGCCAAGCTCTGTTGTGTCTCTGTTCTTGCTTTGGCACTGAACCTCTGCACGGCGTGAATCAACGGTGCCAGCCTGGGTGTATCTCAAACGCCCGGTGGCAGCTGATGGGCTCGGCTGTGGGGAAAAAAACGCTGTCGGTGTGATACTGAAATGGCAAGAGCCAAACTTGGTTGCGCAGCTGCAGCACGTGGTCATTGCCATTAGAGCTGCATGCGCCGCATGATTGCTGTGCAGGTGGGCCACCCAGCACGACGCTCACAAATTGGAGCAATGACAAGAGCAGCCAGGGAAGATGAAGAGCCAACATTGAAGCATTCCGAGGGGGTCCCTTGAGTGTCCTCTCCTGTGCTCGTTTCCTCTGCGACGCCGTGAAGAGGCTCTCCAAGACCGAATGAACCTGTGCTGAAGAAGATGACGAAAGGTTGTGGTGTCGCGTTGTCATGTCACCCACAATACTGCAAAATCTCCTGGTGAGCCAATCCAACAACACGAAGAACTTTCACCATGAACTCATCCGCGGTGTGTTTGTGCTTGTTTCATCCTGAACACCTGGTCCTTCAATTGAACCATGACTCCTTGCATCTCTTTTTTAATGTTTGTCATGAACCATGACTTGACCGGCTGAAAAGGAGATTCAACCCCCTGAAACTTTCAGAACTCGGATGAACTATATGAGGATTTCTTTCAGAACTGGTGACCATCGCCCTGATTTACTTTCGAAAGATTCTGACGCATTCCATGGGCCTGCCGTGCTGGAGCGGCAGACACCGGCGCACGGCTTCCACGCCCCTTACCGGACCTCGGGCAGTGAGGAGAAAGAAACCTGGAGGACGATTCTTAAACATGTATTCTAATATGTATTTATATACAGCTATAAGTTATATATATATATATTATATTAGAAAAATATGTACAATAGATAATGTATATATGTGTATATAGTTATATTGTTGGAATATATATATATATATAATATATATAATATAATATATATATATATATATTTGACATAATATTGCCATGTCCAAACTCTGTGTGGATTGGTTAATCTATTTTTCTACATTCGATCAACCTGTGGGGATTGATGGGCACGTGACCTTCAGGGTTGACATGCTTAAGGGCCAAACATGCTTGACAGGCTGGCCACTTTCTCCTTTATCATCCTTTATCTACTTAGCTTTTCTCTGTTTCTGATCACGAAGAGAACGTGGAGGAGATGACCGGAAAACCAGGAGTTCAGTGATGTTCGGTACCAGAACAGCACTGGTGCTCAGAAAAGCCCGAGTTCGGTACAACCAGACTAGCACGGGGAAGCGGGACAAGTCCCGTAGTTGAGCCGTGAAAGAAGGGTCGTGAACAAAAACCTTCAAGCTGATGAAGGAAGCCTTCATAGCATGGGGAAAAGCCTTCACCCAAGACTGTTGAGTTGACCCAAGACTGTGGAGCTGACCTGAAAACACCTTCTGAAAACAGCTCCACTCTCGACTCCACAGACTCCCCCCAGGACCGTCATAATGTCAAGCACACGAATCGATTCCGCGCGACCTTTGAGGAGCCGGGCTTGCCCTTGCCTTTGCCCTTGCCCTTGGGAGAGAAACTCGAGGCCACCTAGCACTGGTGCCCAAGATGCACCGGAGAGGTGCCCAAGACACTTCACAATTGATGGACATGAACAAGGACCACCCAAAACGGGATCTCTTTCACCTGGGTCATGGCCCCTTTGGTGAAAAACAGCATCCAAGGGAGCCTACTAAGTGGTTACTGTATTTGCTTTGGATTCTCTCGGATTCTATCGCTCTCACAAAGCCTGTATGTCTATAGCATGTTGGCGATATTGATCTGATGCATCGAAAGCTGCGTCCCCATGCCTTGCAGATTTGTCAAAAGCTGCCGCCCCAACAGGTTCTGACTTCTCAGGAGCCCGGATCTTCTTTGGGACTCGGACTCTGGGGATCTTCGATCCCCCGTGTCAAATACCCAGGGTGAAGCACCATCGATCAGCTTTTACCAAAGAGTGTGGTCACTTGGGCTGCATTCGATATATTGAAAGAGCGAGAGAGAGAGAGAGAGAGAGACAAAAAGATGGAACTAACATAGAATAATATTCATATGGTCCCTTGTTTGTTCTGTTTGTTTGTCTTTCTTCTTTAAACACCATGGACCATGTTCGTCATTCCGGTTCCAGGGAGTTGAGTGTCTCACCTTCAAACCACACGGAGGCAACGGCCTCGGCCTGGGGGCCGGGCTTGGCCTTGAACCCGTGCACTCCGGAGACTCTCCAAACCCAGCAACGTGGATCTGTAATTATCTTCCTCGACATGAACACACTTTATGGATCCACTGCCACCGTACCTCAGAAGGTACGACTGGATCCTCCTGGCGCCTAATTACATAAATAGTATCCGTCCTCACCGTACCTCAGGTTCGGAGTGTGGATCCATAGGGATAGTGGTTTCAAAGTAATTAAAGACAAACACAAACCCCAAGATGTCGCGAAAAAATGTGGGTCCACATAAACCATCCAATTTTTGGACATCTGTGCCATCGAACCTCTGAAATAACTTTGAATGTTTTGCAGCTGATCAGGTGATGAGGAACCCCCAACCCCCTCCAAACAAAGTAAACAACTGCTGGGCTGGGCGACAGGAACTTCCTGTCGACTTGCACTGGTGGAAATTCTGAGTCACTTAATCAATTGCTGAAGGATTATCATAGTGTTTTATAGTGTTTTGTTTGCTTTGCAAGAACATTGTCAGAATTGTTTCCTCCGACGCCGCATGACGCACCAACAAAAAGCAAGAACCATCTCTACCCGCATCACACATGGAAGTGGACCAACTGCGACCACTGTTTATAGAAGAACATTTGCTTTCAAGATGCCAGGCCTTCCAGTTCCATGATTTGAGCATAAACTATGGTGTGTATACCCTATGGATCCACTGCCACCGTACCTCAGAAGGTACGACTGGATCCTCCTGGCGCCTAATTACATGTATCCGTCCTCACCGTACCTGAGGTTCGGAGTGTGGATCCATAGGGATAGTGGTTTCAAAGCAATTAAAGACAAACACAAACCCCAAGATGTCGCGAAAAAATGTGGGTCCACATAAACCATCCAAATTTTAGACATCTGTGCCATCGAACCTCTGAAATAACTTTGAATGTTTTGCAGCTGATCAGGTGATGAGGAACCCCCAACCCCCTCCAAACAAAGTAAACAACTGCTGGGCTGGGCGACAGGAACTTCCTGTCGACTTGCACTGGTGGAAATTCTGAGTCACTTAATCAATAGCTGAAGGATTATCATAGTGTTTTGTAGTGTTTTGTTTGCTTTACAAGAACATTGTCAGAATTGTTTCCTCCGACGCCGCATGACGCACCAACCAATGACGCACCAACCACGAGGTGCGCCAGTTCCGCAGTTCGCTTGCGAACCAGGTTCCCCACCCTTGCCACTGCTGAGGCAGGGCCAGCTGCGCGGCCTTTCTGCAGAGTGGACGGCTCGTGCCCTCAGACGACATATCCAAGATGTCAAGATGTCTGGAGCCGTGAATGAACCGCGACTGCTGCTGATGAAGATGTTGCTCATGCTGATGCTGATTATGATGCTGCTGCTAATGATGATGCTGCTGATGCTGATGCTGATGATGCTGCTGATGCTGATGCTGCTGCTGATGGTGATGCTGCTGATGGTGGTGCTGCTGATAATGCTGTTGATGCTGATGCTGATGCTGCTGCTGATGATGATGCTGCTGATGCTGATGCTGCTGCTGACGATGCTGCTGCTGCTGCTGATGATGACGGTGATGCTGGTGATGTTGCTGATGATTATGATTATGATGAGGATGAGGATGAAGCTGTTGCTGTTGCTGCTGCCGCTGCCGCTGCCGCTACTGCTGCTGCTGCTGCTGCTGCGGATGCCGATGCCGATGCCGATGCCGATGATGATGATGATGATAATAATAATGATGATGGTCATTATTATTGCTATTTTTGTAATTATTATAATGACGACGACGACGACGGCGAGGATGTTGATGATGATGATGATGATGATGATGATGTTGCTGCTGACGATGAAGCCGGTGATTATTATGTTGCTGATCATGATGCTGATGTGATGATGCTGAGGAAACTTCTGCTGCTGATGATGGTGATGATGATGTTGCTGCTGACGATGCTGCTGCTGGTGATGATGATGACGCTAAAGATGATGCAGCTGATTATGATGTGTTCGATAATTATGATGATGATCATGTTGCTGCTGATGATGATTCTGATGACGATGTTGCCGCTGTTGATCCTGATGCTGCAAATGCCGATGCCGATGCCGAGGCCGCTGCCGCTGCCGCTGCAGCTGCTGGTCCTGGTGGTGGTGCTGCTGGTGCTGCTGATGATGATGATGCCGTCGATGATGATGACTACTTATCATCTACTGTTATCTCGTTATGCTTAACTTGCCAATGAAACGAGTTTGACTTGGTCCAACTAGACCCCAGGAGTCTTCAAGTCTTCCTCTCGAACCCAGAATCTGTCGATCTCCTGTGGAAGTGACGGATTCACGCATGACTTTTCGCTGAAAAAAACAACTTCTGGGGTTTTGAGCTGTTTGCTTTTCAAGCAGTGAGTGATGCATCTTGCATTCTTTGCCCAACCATCTGCGCTTCTTCTTTGATCCATACTCCTGCTCTGCTCTGCAAACAAAACTCTTCGAACCGCACCTACCGCCGGGACTTTCCGCGCAGCACCTCGGCGCAGGTGTTAAGGAACGTCACGGATGCAAGTGTTCCCCAGCGGGTAGTGGAACATACATGATACACGGCATTCTGAACTCATCTGCCGAGTCTTGATAATCTATATAGCCATTGAAGACTTGATATAGTTTCGAGGGTCTGACTCTTTGTCTGTTCCAAGTGTTGTTCATCAACGTGACCTGTCGTGTGGTTCCTGTTGCAGTTGCGGCTTGTTTCTGCTTGTATAGACCTGCACCATATGCAACTATGTTGAAAGTGTCTAGATTTGTATTCCAACACACACACACACTGGCTTGTTACTCTTGTTCTTCTTGCTTCTGTCTGCTCAGTCCAGTGGCGCAAGCTTGGGCTGTCAAAGGGGTTGTCCTGGCCACGAGTGCCAAGTGCCATGTATGGCCGGAGAAGACTGCTCCAAACTGGCTCCGGGTGGCTTCGGTCTTGGATCTGACCATATTTAGGTCTTGGATTTAGGGTTTAGGCTTTAGGGTTCAGGTCTTGGATTTGATCATAGTTGATCTGATATGATCTGATTACTCACTGTAATGTGTGTAACAATTAAAAACATGTTGTCGTTCTGGGGATTAATATGTATACTGTATACTAGTACTCTGAAACAGCCTCATCAAATCATGAAAATATGATCCATCCATGAATTGGATTGAATTAGGAACTAACAATGCCATTATAGTTGAGATGGAGTTATGGAATTACTCTGGTTCGTCAGCTCCATCACATCATCATTCACCCAGAACCAACGCCACACACGCGTCCCAAGTCCCAAGCGAATCCCGCGTCCCAAGCGGATGGAAACACGATGTTTTCCCCCGGTTCACCTGGAGGCTGAAGGACCAACCACGTGCACGCGTTCAAAGGGAAAAGAATATCCATTTTGCCTGAGCCTTCAACTTAAGCAATGTGGGCCCCCAGCATGCGGACTCGTCACGACGCGCCACACGACGCGCCAGCTCGCTCCTCGAGCTCACGAATGCGCCACACTTGGTTGAAGGTGCCACTGTCCAAGGTAATGCTGCCGCCCTAGGCCCGAAGATTGAATTGGTTGAAGGGAACAACGTCCACTACCAGAAATCCTTGCTGTTAGATCTTCCCTTCAACCCATTCTGCGACGCAAGAGGAACGTCATCTCGGAAAACGTGGATCTCCAAGCGAGGAGATTCTCACTCGGGATCGAAAGAATGTGGAACTCCTTATTTGCAGTTGTGTCTTACATTTAGTTGCACTGTATTTAAATGTGGAACCTGGATGACTCTGTACATATCACTATCGTCAATCATATCCTATGATTATCATAATGTTAGACATCCGAACACTCAAGGAGAACCGTAAGCACCAATATGGATGTAACAAAAGAACACACACACAACTGGTCCAGGCTACGACCCTAGTGAGGACCGTCCGGACTTCCTCTTCTTCGTCCACCTCCCAATGCGACCCGCGAGGGTGGCGACGTGGTCGGCCCGCCGCTGACGTGGTCGGCCCGGATCCGTCGGGACCCTGAAAGGGGAAGCCCTCTCCATGTTCCAGATGATTCTGAGCCCAAGGGGCGGCTCAGAAGGTGGTTTTTCGATGTTTTTCGATGTAATTACCAGGAACACCACATGGCCCAGCAAAAACCTAGTTTTCCCATCGCGTGTTTCTAAAAAAACAATGTGAAAGCCTTTATTATTCATGGGTTTGAGGGCATATTATCCCTACAAGTGTATGACCAACTCCAGCAAAATGAGTTCCAACGGACTTGTAGGGTATATATGCATACCCTCCTTGAAGACTCGGCTTACCATCCCAGGTCTGGTCGATTTGATGTGATTTGGGGCTGCATTTATTTCTTGGAATGACACGAATCTACATAGTTACTACAGCAAGTAGGTTCCAAGGTAGACAGTAGACATCAATTAGTTCGTTCTTGCTGGGGAGGGACGAGCTTGAGACAGTGGTTCCATCGTGTCTAATCTTAGAAGACTTTTTCCATTTAATCCTCGGTTTCAGCACGTCATCCAGGAAAGCACCGCAGATCGCCGCAGTGTTCTAACAAATGCAGGCCTTCGTCATCAGTCCGGTGCTGTAGAGGATGCTCACTGTCTTAAAACCCGGATCGTTGTTGTTGACGCCGGCGCCACACAAGAGAGGTCCCTGCCGGCGCATGTGATGGACTGCTGGGATTTCGGATAAGCATACAGCAGCATACTAACCAGTTGGCAACCGTGGGATGAGTTCAAACATGTTCAAACAATTTTGGTTTGTACGGTACAACAAGTTCCTTGGGAATCGTCAACAGCTCTCTCTCTCTCTCTCGCTCTCCTCTCTCCACGGGCCGATATGGGATTCTTGTCTGTCATACACTCCCTGGAATCACCATGTAACTCTTTCAAAAAGGAGTGCAATCCTGGTCACTTCATCTGTCCCACCACCTGAACAGGGGACCTGATACAGAAAAGGCAAATGACCATCAAGGCTCCTCAAAGATGTTGAGCGTATTCAGGGCAATCCACAATTATTGCAAGCTGAAAAGAAACAAGAGGTGACATGTTGCTTCGATGAGCATGCCACAGTTTTTGCACACATGATTCACCCCAAGCAGCGTTCATGACAAAAATATGAACTTGTTCAAAGGGCACAGCATTGCACAGTTTAGCACAGAAACCTTCCCCACAGCAAACCTCGCCAGCAAACCTTTGCCAGAAGAGGGGAGTTGCATGGAATCGCAGCTAAGCAAAGTCAAATTACAATTTCTTGGTACAGCGACTCCCAGTTCTTCGACCAATGGTACAGTAACGGTACAATGCAAATACCATGGTACGCAACAAAAGAAGCAAGTTCTTGAGGAATCTCCAGGATATCACACATCCCCATAACAAGTCTTCATCTTGGATTTGCGGACTTTTTGAAGCCAGGACAAAAGCAAAAACAATCTGCCTGATGGTACAGAAGGGGAGGAACATACCAGAACTGGAAAACCTGAACAATCCACCTCCAAAATCATCCAGAAAAAGATGCTAAAGGTCAATACCGGTCAGTCCCTCCTTCTTTCCCCCCAATATCTGATTCGGTGCCTTGGCCTCTGCCGCGCGGCCGACGCCGCGGTCGCGGCGGATGCAGCCCTTCTCCACGATGAGGCCGGTGGAGGCCTGAGCGAAGCAGAGTGGTGCGAGTTGAAAATGGCCTTCATGAAACGTACAAAAAGAAAAAACATTAAATAACCAAACATAACGATACATGTCTTCTTTAGTCTTCACTTTTTTTTGGATTGTTTTGGGTTGCCTTCACATGGGGGCAGCGAAAGGTAAGTTTTTGTGCCTTTCAGGACTAGAGATGTCCAATCTGTTGACTGAGAAGGAGCTAGTTTAGGCCCAAATGGGGCAATGACTTCTACATGACAGTCTCATGTAAGTCTCGGGGTGAAAGATGGTGAACGTCTCGCGTGTACGGCGATCCAGGAAGGGTTTTGATGTGAGGTCGGAAAGTCAACTCAGCTATTACCCTGCAGCTTTCCAAAACGGACCTGTCAAGCATATAGATCACTAAATTCTTGGCTAAGACACCATTTCTGTGCCAACATTGCGGCTGCCAACCCGCACGCAGACAGGACGTAACCACCTAACTTACGCTTCGCTGGAGAAATAGATATGGCATGATATGGCTTTGGGTCAAGACCTGGACCCCCAAACCCTTTCAGATCCTTTTTAGCTTGTTTTCTTTCTCAGCGTGCTCTTTTCACTGTCTGAACACAAACCGGGGCAAACCCGTGTCTCAAAAACACACTTCGCCAGGTCCGATGGAAGCGGAACGAAGTCCGAGCGGAACGAGAGGTTGAACAGCCCTTTTTCGCCCATCCCATACAGCCCTACAGGGTCCGAACGTTCAGGTCTCTCAACCTCTCTGGCTTTTGAGGCGCGTGAACGTGAAACGCCGCACGCCCCACGCAACGTGTTTCGGGCCTCATAGCGTCCCTGGAGTTCCTCCTCCAAGGTCTGAGGTTCCTGGATCCGCTTCAACCTGGGTGTGACTTTCGCGGCAAACTCGGCGTCTGACCGAGAGTGACCGGGGCGTCTGACCGGACCGAAAGGGGGCATCTGACCGGACCGAGGAGTGTTAGTCGTTGGTTCTCTTGTTTGGTGATGGTGGACCAGGCCTTCAGGTTTCGCCCCCAGGGGCTCCAGAGGGCTCCAGAGGGCTCCAGGCTTCGACCAGCCAGGGTGACGAAGCCCTGTTCGGTGTGGCGTCGAGAGGTGGGACGATGGGACTGGAGCTTGGGGAACAGATTCCCCTTGGCCGGATGCATGCAGGAACTTCATGGAACTTGTGGTGTTCAGTAACTCTAAAACTCCTCCCCCCACAGATATGGATTGTAAAACATCTGAAAGGCCTGGAGAAATGATATGAAATATGTTTAACTCAGAGCCTGAGTTTTTGGATCTCATCCAGAGTCAGCTCCAAGCTGGGATGCTGGCTGTTCCATGCTCATGCACAGGGTGGCACCAATGAACCCCTGCCAAAGGCGGTCGAGGCGGTCGACGTGAAACAATGGGGTGGGTGGATCCAAACCGGCCAGGGCAACCAAGCTCAAGCTCTTAGTATCCCATGTGGGCTCCAGTCGTACCTTCGTTCCGGTTCGGTGGGACTGGGGTGGCTTTAGAGGGTCCAGTCATACCTTCGTTTCGGAGGTACGAACTGGAGCCCTATAAGTATACTTAAATAGGGAGGCCCACGCGTTCCGACCCCCTGGGTTTGTTTCGGAACATTGACCAGTCTACCCAGTCTACCGGGCCAGGGGATCTCCTGAGAAGGGGATTCACTTTTGTCTCACTATGCATGCATGTGTGGTATGTATTTATATATATATATTACTATATATCTTTGGCAAAGTCTTGCAAAAGCCCTTTTAATATTAACCACTTCGATTTCGACTGACTCTCCAGACATGGTCGCCAGGCTCTTGGGGCTGGGATCTTGCAGCGGAAGTGTTGAACTGATGGTTGAGCTTCTACTTGGGAATGCCTTCAACTTCAACCCTTAACCCTCAACTACCCTAAACATCCCTAAACCAGTTTCACTGAACACCCTGTCAAAAGACCTGACCAAACAGAAAAACGCACATCCAAAACTATTTGAGGAACACACCTTTTATGTACTTGTAGACATTGAAAAACAAAGCATCAACAACAAACCAAATGGGTGTGTATTTCAATAGGGAGACCCCCCAAATCGCTTCTGGCTGGGTACTTTTTGTGGGTCTATTTTCCCAAACCTGACCCAGAGAGTCGGAACGCCGAAAGGAGGTCTCCCTGGTGTCAAAATACAGACCCAACTACAGTTGTCTTTGGGCAAAACAATGCGTAAATCTTAAGTCCTACCTAAAGTCTTTCATAGAGGTTTATGACGTTGCTCAAATGGAGAAGAACAAAGTTGAACACCTTGGAAAGGCTCCACTTTTCCACGGCCTCTCCGCGTGGCGGCCCTAAGACCTGGCGGAAGGTTCGTTCGCGTCGCAGTTGAGGTCGGTCGTCGAATCGGTTCTTGGAGGGTTCAGTAGAGTGGATTGAAGGCGAATTTCAATGGCATATCTGTGGGACATTGATGGAACATTTGGACACAAACTGGTCTTTTTGAGTGTCCAATGTTGTCCATGATTTCAACTTGAATTGCACCTGTAGGTGCTGGGTAGTCCCCCGGGTTGATTCTCAGGGTGTTTGGCTGGTTGCTCAGGTGCTTAAAGGATCTTAAAAGGGATTCACCTCAATCTCGCATTTGAGTCACTAGTCAACAACCTGGGTAAAAGCAGTCTCGGTCCTTTAAGAAGGTAGCCCTTTGAGATCAATGAGGGTCACCAAACGGTCTTGAAAAGGTTCCTTGCCAATCCTGAAGAGGTCACTGGGAAGGTCCTGATAGGTGTTTCTTCACGCCTTATGGAGCGGTTCCGCTCCAACAGCTTTGTTGCGGAGCGGTTTTTAGAGGCTCCTTGTTGCATCGTTTTGCGGAGCATGCTGATGCGTCTGATGCGTGCTGTGCTGCTCAATTGCACTGCTATCAAAATACACTACGACTCACTAACATGGAAGTGGAAAACGCCCTGTTTGTACAGGAAAGTCGTCTTCCAAGGGACCATTTTCCACTTCCAATGTTAGTGAGTCAGAGTGTAAAAATATCTCTATTATGGGGGTACCTCCCAAAACATGCTGCCTCACAGAGTTCATCAGGCTCTTTATGTGGTCCAGGACATGGCTTCTCCACTGCCAAAACGTTGAACCAATCATTGTCCCCTGAGACGCAGCACCCACCCGAGAAGAGTGAACTATGATGTTTCAGAGCTTCTGGAAACAGGCACAAAGGTCTGCAGCTACACCCGAGAAGATTAACATGGAACTAACCTGAAAATTGACCTTTTGGAAGACAACTTTAACTTTCCTCTACAACCCAGTCGTTTTTCAGGTTGTATGTGGGTCTCTTCCAGGGTGTAACCGGCAGGCCCAGCCCGTCCCCCAAGTTTCGAATGGCATACACATCCCCTCCGTCGCCATCCATCCCGGTTGATCGACCAGACCAGGACGACCAGATCGGCATCGACTGGCTGTGCCAGGCCGATGACTTCAGTTCAGCAAAAAAGCTGTGCCACATCCATCGAAGGTGGGAATTGATGGGAATTGACATGAGTTGGATCATGTTGGATCTAAACTCCCCGTCACTTATTACCCCTTAGAGATATTCAACATGTACATCCTAATTTGCTCAAACGAGCTGCTGCAGGATCTTCTTTCATCACGCTCCGTTTTCACACTGCGTGCCAGCTCACATCGCGAGCAGAAGTTGATAGGTCCACCTTTCACGCTGCGCACCAGACGCTGCGCACACCAGACGGTGCTTGGGGGAGAATCGTCGTGAGTTTGCTTGTGATGCCAAACGCTTCCACGACACGTGAAACGGGCGTCGCACTCGCCTGGAGCGACACGTCACCGCAGACAATCCAAACCTCGGGGGCACCGACACGGGATATCAGCGGTGTGACTTTTTGAGGTCGAAGAGAGATGGAACGCCATGAGACACAATAAACATGGATATGTTTGATCACATCATATAATTCATCAAGCAAATCAAAACAAAGAACTGGAACAGACTGGATCTCAGATACGAGTCTGTTTCAAGTGGAGCAGCTGAGCTTGTGCTATTTAACAGCAATTCAAAAGGGCAAAGCAATTGGTGGACCCTCGCTATATAATCGATCTAAATGCTGTAATCCGCGCCATGAATGACACAGGCTTTAGATTCCTTGACTGTGGTTCTATCCATGACAGTCAACCACATGGCATGGTTGTACTGTTATGCTGTTAGCCAACGGTATCCAACGGTCATGGTCGCTTTCATCCGCCTGGAAGTGCCTGGAAGAAGAAGACAAACAAAAACAAAACTCGCCGGTCTAGAATCTTAGAATATCGTTCACCCATGCTTACCCCTTGGGCCTTTTGGTCTTAGGTCTTCCTAATTAGAATACCCAAACACTCCATAAATTGAATATATTGACCCCTGAAATAACCGCCCGCCCCAATTAACCGCCCGCCCCAATGTAGAAAAACTGCATACATACAGTAATTTGTTATATATATATATATAATTATATATTATATAAATCACCCTTCCAATTCGCACTCACACCCGGACTGTCAATTCTTTAGGAACCCCCAGGTTCAGTATCCAGAAGTGGCACTAAAAAATCAAGAACATTCTCTAAAGAATCAAAAGCCAGATTGCATCTGCTAAAGAATTGGAGACTTGAAGGAAAAGCTCAAAAGGCCTAAAGAATTGACAGTCCGAGTTCGAGTGGAACAAAGTCGACTCATGCATCTTCCTCTTGATGCTTGCTTATGGATGATCCTGGTATGGTCTCTGCATCTGTGTGTTGAGCCCATGCTAGGATTTGCAAATCTGGCTTTGCAAAGACTCTTTTCTCTAAAAAATCCACCCCATTCTCGAGCTAACGCTCGACAACCAAAGTCTCTAATAAATCAACCCCCTCTTGGCGTTATAGAGAATGGGAACCCCCAGGTTCCAGTTGTAGACTGGCACTGTATATTTTCGTCCGTTTTTGTTTTTTATGACAACCCGGGTTGTCTGATTTTTTAGAGGAAATTCGCACAGGGATTTATATAATCTATATATCTGAGGATACTTTTACATAGGCACCCCTTCTGGATAACACTCCCCATCCTCTCCCCCCATCCTCTCCTTTCTCCAAAGGCGCTCCCGCGCGCAAACCACACACCGGCGGCTTCGAGCCGGGGCCGGCCGCCTCGCAATTGGGGCCGGTCACGCTTTCAAGACGTGTTTTTCTTCCTCAGTGCTTGGTGGTTGCGCCGGCTCGGTGGTGACCAAAAGGCATCGGTGGCCACGGCGAAAGACTGGTAGTGAAGGTGATTTGGATGGAAGTCTGCCTTAAAAATGGTAGGGATTGTCTGACTTGTACCACGCACTGGGACATATGGATCCAACAAAAACTGGTTTTTGGGCCAATGCTTAAAGGGAGTGGCGAGTTGGGGGATGGACACAAGCTGCAACAATCTTCACCATACCGAACGAAAAAGCTATAGAGAGGCCGAGAGGCCCATGAAAAAGCGGTTGCGCAGAAGAGGCGTATTCCTCATATCGAACGAAACCCAGCTTGGAACCCTTCGCACCCACGACCACTCCTGTCCCCTTTGGCTTCAGCCTCCAGGACTCAACTCAAAGTGTCTTGGCCGGTTTCAACTAAATTCCAGTGACGAGCATCTTGGGAAGATTCTCCACGCAACCAAAGGATACCAAAAGGGTTTGGGTCCAGATCTATGATCTATGTTCCTTGTCCAGGGGGGTCATTGAGAGGGTCCCCATCAGTTTCCCTATTCCAAAGTCCAAATCCTCCACATCACTGGTCACCTCGCCTGCTCCATGAGCAGCTCCGCTGCAGCGACCGGCATCTCGTCTTGGGAGATCCGGCGCCAGGTGAAGCCTGCGGCGGGACCGTCGACCATCTCAGCGTCCATGCTGCGGCGGATCTTCCCGCGGCGCGGAAGAGAACCCAGTGAGGTCCTTTGGGGAAGAATGGTACCATAGACCAATTATTGTAATTGATTGTACACGACTGGGGGTATCCCCCTCAGGCCCTCCCTAGGGCACCAGTCTTGTTAGACACGACGCAAGGCGGTGAGTGCCCACAAATATACTCAAACAGGGCGAGCTCGAAACAAGTCGAACATGTTGAAGCCCTAAGCTGCCATCGCACCGGTGGGCTGACTTTTTCTAGCCAATGGCTGATAGAGTGGGAAAGCGGGTCAACAAACATGACCTGCTATACATGACCAGGTTTCCCTGTCAGAGCTGGGGGTCAACAAATCCACCCCGGCCCACAGAAGCCATAGAAAACTAGGAAACACAAAGATGAGAGTCCAATCTGAACCTTCCAAGTTTAGGGAGGCGGGCAGGAAAAGACAGGAACACAAGAACCACCACTGCAGTGTGCAAAGCCGCCAAAGACAACAATGGGTACACTGCTGTGACTGAAGGTGGTGAGAAACATTTCATCACCGGCGCAATGGTTTACACACGTTTACACTTTACACATAAGAAACCACACCTTGCACCCTTTGGCACAAACAGGGACTCAACCACAAAGCTACAAAAGAATCCAAGGTAGCATGTCAGCAGGAATGCCCTGCAAACTCCACGAGTTTGCTCTCAATATGGTCGCTATTCATTCAATAAGGCGACACCTACAAGCAAATGTAAGCGTACCTCCTCAGGTTCGGTATGACTGGACCCTCCTGGCACCCTCTCCAGTCCTTCTAAGAAGGTGGGCCTCTGATCTCTGGACATCGATATGGTTTCAGAGTCGACGTCATGAAACAAGAAGCTATTCGTAACAAGTGCATCGCTAGTAGTAACAGGTGCCTTACTAGTAGTAACAAGAAGCTATTAGTAACAGTCCAAGAGAGTTAAGTTTGGGGGGTTCATTCAACAGAAGCGCCAAGAGAAGCGCCAAGAGAGGACGTGAGGAGCAACCAACATGAGTGGTGAACTCAAAAAGATCCCCATACCTGGGTCATCCTGTCTGGGTGTCCAAGATACTACGCTATGTACACTGTCTATTTATGGACCTCCATATATTGGACACACCATTGGATGGTCCTGGTCTGTCCAAGACATGTGTTTTTTGGTATTGAAGTCTGAAACCTAACCTAGAGATCCGGTCACACCCTCGGATCATCTCAGATCTGGACCCATTCAGGATCTGGACCTATAAGGTATAAGTGTTCTGTGAACATCCTGGAGGTCTGTAAGGTGTTCATAAAGTTGTTCACTACTCCTACTCTTTTGCATCGAACATACGAGGCTCAGATTGTTTCTCCTGTCCTGGCACGTCGCCGTCAGGAAGATCCAGCATCTGATCCTTGCTCACCTGCGAAGTCTGCCACACTCTACACATCAAAACCTTCACATGAGTATGTATTTTGATAGGGAAGTCTCCAACCGAAGAAAACTTAATGTGTTGGTACGTTTTGGTCAATTTCCCTTCTTCCAAAGGGTCTTTGGAGGGTCTCCCTATTTTAATACACTTGCCATTGTCCTACATTAGACTGGGTAGCTGTTTGAAGGGTTTGGGTTTGTTGAACAAACACAATTGCGAGGCTGGTACTGGTACATGAAAGGATCCCAAAGTACAAGTGGAGTCGTTCAAAGGACAAAAACAAATCGCTCATATCTACACCCCAAGACCAACATCTGTCATATCTACACCCCCACTTCGACGGGTTTTCTCAGGAGGTGGAGTTCTCCACATTATTGTCGGATCCTAATTAGTGTAGTGAGAGTGAATAATACAAAGATATAAAAGTGTTCGCCAAAATATTCCCACACCCTGAATAGTTTCATGGGAGAGATAATCAGAAGTTTTCTCACCCAGCGTGTTTCTTGAAAGAATTGTATATTTGTCTGCTATTGTTGCCCTTGAAGATGGTCTTGATACTATTCAAACACCCTTGATTGTTTGCTAGGGGGACGGTCTATACTATTTAAGATCATGTAAGATCCAACATCAAGTAGGTCCAGTTCTCCTTCTACAGATCCCCTCCCTCCCCCTGGCTTCGCAGGATCGACTGCTGCGCGGTCGGCACCTCTGAGAGATGCCGTGTCGCTACGCGGCCGGGCTCGGTGTCGACCTGGGCACGAGCAAAAGGGCGACCTCTTCGACCTGAACAAAGAGGTGTTGATCAATAGCCTCTGTCTTAGAGGTGATAGTCCGGGGTGTCCAAAAACCACCGGACTTGGAATGTCCTGGGTATGGATGATTGATTTGCCTATTCTGTGGGGTAAAGTTCAGGGATCATACATGGATTGTCTGGGATCGTGGAACTCCGAGTTTCCTTGAGGCTTTCCCAGGCGTTGGCCTCCCATTCTTGCATGATTGTGGACCGCATTAACCTTATGTTACCACAAACACTTCTTGTGAGCAGCCTTTTTTTTGTTGCCAAAGCCGGTTCAAACTTTGCAAAGAACAAGCAACACATATCAAAACATAGTAAAAGCATGTAAAAGCAAGTGATGAAGCCCCAGCAAAAGTGTCTTTACTTCACTACTCTTCTTTACTTCACCGTCTCCAGCAGTATACCCCTCTCCGACGGCCTCCCATGGCCCCCCGGCGGCAATCTTACGACACACGCAGACCTTGTCGCCCACCTGCAGATCGGGACATCGGCACATGTCGAGTAGCTTGGCTGTCGGTCATGGCAGCCTGGTGCCAAGCCCGGTGTTCTTCCCACCCAACATGAACTATGGCTTGACTACAAGAGATGGTCCATCTATGAGGGATTAGGGGTCCGGGTTTTGAACCACCCCATTGGGTGCCACCCCATGTGACAATGTGTCAAGACAGAACCTAAACAGATCCAAACACCACCAAACACATCTGGAGGGTCTAAACAGTTGAACTTGGCAAGCTTTTTTTTTGGCGCCATCGCACCCATTGTCTTCCTGCAGGGAGCTGTTTAGGGCACAAACCTCTGGAGCTCGCTACCCGTTCAAAAGATTGAGGGTGTCCACTTCACCGTTTGCAATCCGGGGGAAGGTCTTTTTCTCTTTTCCAGCGACGTGGTGATCGCTTGTACTTGCGGGGGCTTTTCTCGCCTGTTCTTGGACTTAGGCCTAAGGAACAGGGAACAACCATGAATATTCCCCAGAAGGGGATTCACTAATAGGGAAACTAAAACTCACCCTAAGCATCATACGCATCCCTAAGCAAAAATTTCAAGCGTTGCTTTTGTAGGTTTGGGCCCAATGATTCCTTTAAACAAAACGAGTCCCTCAGTGGACCACTGGTGATCAAACGTTTGGGTGTTCTCACATGGACCGGTTCAGGGATCACTTGACTTCATCGTCTAGTTTTGAGAAAAAGGATGGACTTTTCGGAGTGGCTTGGCCACTTGATGACACCAGGGTGACTGCCGCATCCAAGTGATGTCCGTTCACACCCTTGGGCCCTTTCGGCGCTCCGGACAGACCGTGAAACGGTGGGACGACCGGGGCCCGGGGTGGGAGGGTCCAGTCATAGCGAACCTAAGGAGGTATGACTGGAGCCCATCCGGGACATCATGTTGGGAAACGATGGGAAATGCTGTCGATGATGAGGAGGGAATGTTGTGCCTCCTTCTAGGGTGTCGAATGAAGACCCGTGAGTAGTGTAGCTACAGTGCGGATGGTCCTGATTCGGAGTATCTCCTAACTTTTGACACCACCTTCTTTCTTGGCGACTATACGGGGAAGTTTCCTTCTCGTGGGCTGAACTGCCCCCCGTAGCAGAGCCTGTGCCGCAGAAACGGATCTGGCTCAGCTCACAGGCGTCAGCTCAAATCCCAGAAGTCCAACGGGATGTTCTTTCCCAGTCAACCGAACCCCACAGAACAGCATGTTGAAGAGATCGGACACTTGGTGTGTTTCATTGTTTTTCTATCTACTTTCCAATGACCCCCGAAAGCAAATGCAAAAAAGCCATCTTCCCCTGCTGTTAGCGGCTTCCGCCCAAAAACCGAGCCTGGTCTGCATCTGTGGCGGGCTCCTTGCAATGTGAGGGCACAAGGACCCAAAGTTGAGTCACAATGGTTGTCATTACTGTGTTATCACTGGATCCAGTATTAATGAGTTTCTGGCTGACGACCTGGTTTGGGAATAAACTTGATACGTCTCCCCGGTCTCCCTGGTCTGACTGTGAATCCCCCGTGAATCCATGCAGCGATGCTGCAAGGTTGCTCAGCTCACATCTGCTTTACGGCTCTAAAGTTCTCAGCAAAATTCATACATCATCAGGTAAAGGATAGGTAACTAACCATGATTTATCCCATGTCCGGGACAATCAAAAACATTGAAAAACCATACCTGGGCAGCAGTTTGGGACGCTGGTACACCAAATCTTCCCCCCGACGGCTCCACACCGACCGGCCGAACTGGCGCACCAGGGCGAGGCAGCCCGCGACCGCGCGATAGGGCTCTGCAAAGTGCACCTGCGCGCGGTGGCGTTTGGAGCGTTGAAGATCCACCGTCATTTCAATCGAGGGCTGAACCCCGGGATGTTATCATAATCGTAAACAATCTTAAACCCTGGGAGTCGAAGACTATAAAGAATGGTCTTTAGGATCTTTAGGTACCCCGAGTTCAGGACTTTCCTCTACTTCGTCCAAATCGAGGTCGAACTGGACTTCGGGGAGGTCGATCTTAAAGGCCGCCGGCGTTTCGACCCCGCTTCGAAGCACCCCCCCCCCGGTCCGGTCTCCGGTCCGACCCCTCCCATCCGAACGACCCCCGCCGCGGACCTCGGCCAACAGCCCCCGGCGGCTGATGAGGCGGATCCGCCTCGACCGACGAAGTGCGGTTCCGCGACGTACAGACGCGCGGTTCCGCGAGGGAAGCGACGAGACCGGAGCTCCTTCTCCTCAACGAGGCATGCAGAAGACCGGAGCCAATCTGACAGAAGTGATAGAACTCACCTCTGGCGGCCCAACACTGTCGAGCTTGTCCACTTGTCACCTCTCTTCTGGCTGTTCTTCGTGGATTCTTCATGCGCTCCAGCTGCGAAGGGTTCGCCATCCGACTCGAACCAACAGGGGTTCACCAGCATACCAGAACCTGACCCGTTCGACTATCCGGGTACCCCAGGTGTTCCGGGTCTAATCAGGTCAGGTCACGTAATGACCTCCTCATTGGTACGTATCTGGACAAACTCACAATCCAATTAGACCCAAGGGATCGAGTGGGCGCTTCGTGTAGAGTCGGTGTATGTGCAGCAAGGACGATGTTCTGAAATCGATGTGGGCGCTTCGTTGCACGCAGCAAAGCCATGTGTTGCCAGAAAATAGTGGGCAAACATTTGAGCAGCTTGGAAATCGGCCTTGTCTCAAAACAAGGACACCTCACCTCGCCCAAACCAAAAAGAAGCACTGGGAATAGGCAAAGGAGATGAACACCTGAAGACACACACATTTTGAGACAAGCCCTATATAGCCTACTTCTCCAGCAAAGCAGTCGTGAGTCGGTGCTCAAATCGAGACGATCCAAATCTATCTAGAAAAGCTCCTTCTCTGCTTTGGCTTCACCCAGTGACCTCAAAAATAAGGGTATTCTAACTGCATACTCATTAAAATCGAATATTCGTGTGTGCTGAGCCGTTACTATAGAAAAGCTCCCACCGATGGGCATCGAGGGGCAGTGTCTTAGGAATCCTCCAGTCCAAAAAGGCATCACCATCACAGCCCAAAGGATCCACGGAAGGCGCTGCCCGAATGAGTCAACATGACCCCCGATTATACCTTCACATCTTACATCCCTAGGGACATCCCTGAAGATAAGGTTGTTGGCAGGCTGGCGCACGAATATAGACCAAGCACTGACACCGTGGATTTTATCCACCCAGAACGGCCCCCTATCCTATAGGGACCCGCTCCAGGACCCTCCTGTCGGGGTGTCTATGTATAGCCCCTTAGCTGTGATTCGGGGTGTCCATTGACCACCCCTTGGGGGTCCTGGCTGGTGGTGAATTTCACGTCTGGCCTGGCCAGCCGCAGCGCCGAGGTCTCTGGCTTGGACTCCTCACCTGGATCGTGCGTGCAGGTGGTGCACCAGAGGAAAATCCCCAAAAACAGGTGGTTGGGAGGTGGTCCTCTCGACGTGGTTTTGTGGCACTGATGGGGTTTCATGGCACTGATGGGGTACGTTTCATGGTTGGTAGCGGATTGATCCTGGTCTTTCTTTTGGGACCATGCCATCAAAGCATGCCACACGATTCGTGTGAAGGATTCGAGCCGAAGCATGCTTGCATGCTTGAAGTCAAACAGTTTTGGGACCATTTGAAGCATGCCATCCACGGAACCATATTAGTTCCAGAGAATGTAAGGTCGCGCGGACAACAAAAGGCCTTGCTATGATTTGACAGAGCAGCTACTCCCATGCGCGCACAGGGTAGCTGCCGCACAAGGAGCGTCAATATAGTTCTGTAAATTCCCAGAGATAGATATATAGATATAGGGAAGCAGGATTCAGAAGCCAAGAAAAACATAAAGAAGGACCAAGATGGACCAACCCTAGGGCTCCAGTCGTGCCTCCTCAGAAGGTATGACTGGACCCTCCAAATGAAAGCCACCCCAGTCCCACCTTCTCAGAAGGTACGACTGGAGCCCAAACAAGTCTTTCCTCATCTTGAATTCAAACCGCGCGGGGCGACCGTTGCGCAAGTTTCTCCGCGGCCTCCATCCAGATGGAGCTCCTGAGCTCCGGGTCTTGGCGGTCTGGACATCTCTCATTGGAACCGGAAAACGCCTGAAGTACTAGATGAAGTGCACACATATCTGCAGCTAACTCTGCAAATTAATCTCTGCAGCTATTGCATTCGGAACATCTCCCCTTCTTTCGGTTCAGCTTTCTGTTCAGCTTGTCGGTTCAAGCTTTTCACGCTATCAGTTTGACAGGTCCGTTCCTGACAGATGAGACGGGTTTTGCGCAAACTCGCCAAGCGTGCGAACCGCGGCTGAACCACACAGCCACCCACCGCCACACATACAGTGGTTTCAGAGGTTCAATTGCACTGGCACCTCAAGATGTATTTCAGATGGGGGTATCATAGTTCAACCACCTAACTTGGGGTCCATAGTTGAGCCATGTCTCACTGTCTCAACCGTCTCAATCCACAGTAGACAGACTCGACAGACGACAGCGCTCACCGACTCGACAGACGCTGTCGCGCTCACCGTCCGGTGGGCCTCCTCCACCCAAAGGCCAGCACAGGTCTCGATCAAGTGGATCGATCCTTTCGACCAATGCAGGTCACTCAAGCTGCTGAGCCCGGCCTCGGTTCTGGCGGAGGCTTTCAGACAAAGGGCCTACAAGGCCCTCCCAGATGGGTAGACTGGCTCTTGAGGACCATCAAGCCTCCCATTTGAATTGGACATGCTATTTCATATGGGGGGGGTGAAATAGAATCAAGAGTCTACATTGATTGCTTATACACGTTTTTGGGGTTCCAGGTGAGCGGCCTCCTCGCTGGTATGACTGCACCCTCCCCAGTCCCACCGAACCGAAACGAAGGTGCGACTGGAGCCCCAGGGATTTACATTGCGTGACTTTTGGGTGGCCAAGTGAAGGCCGGTCCAGGTACCAGAAAGGTATATAAGTGGTAGAAATTGGATCAGGACAGGTTGAAGTCTGAAGAACCAAGACTTCAGGATGAACTCTTGGATCATCTACTCATTCTAATTCAAGTACTAGACAATATTAGGCAAAGGGAGGATGAGTTGTTGATTTACCTTCAACTGCCACATGATTGGGTGGATTGGTCTTGGCCAAAGATTCCAAGACGTGCAGAAACAACAAACATTGGAGCGCCATCATGCTTCCTGGTGCTGGAAGAGTTCTGAAATTCTGGGGCTGGTGCCCCATAGATCCCTATATCTGGATGGATGGATGGATGGATGGATGGATG